ATAACCAACAATTCTTGCTTCTTGGAAGTTCTTAGTTTCTCTGACTAAAGTTGTAAATGCAAAGGATTATGGGGCAGTATAAAATGACTATGTTTATATTAATAATTAAATATGATTGCTAAGCTGTGCTTATGAGCCAGTGGTGATGGGCCAAACAATGCAAATAAATAGTTCAGTCAAGTGGACAATATAGCAGGGTGAATAAAAACCATACTGGACTTTAAAAACTGTAAATTGGAATTGCTTTTTAGCTCAGTGTCGGAATCAGTCATAGACATTTTGTTTTTGTTTGCTACTTTATTTTTATGAGGATAAAGCTGGGCAAAAATAGAATGAAGCAGAAAGGTTAACCCTAGAAAGAAATGACAAAACTTTCCAGTATACTTAGGCTATGATCCTATAACTACTTGTCTTATAATAACTTATTTATGTAGAGACATGTATACAATTGTGCTGTTCATGCTTAAAGTATCTTAGTTGTTACTTATAAGAAAGATCCTATATGGGAATATTTTAAAGACATTCCTTCTATAAACTAAAACGAAAAACACAGCATTAAAAAGATGAAGAGATGAAATTCTGGCTTGAAAGAAATAGGTATCTCTAATTTAACTGTAAATTAGCATGGCTCATGTCAGATTTCTACCACTGTTCAGAAAATATATGAAAATCAATGGGAAACTTGATTTATGTCAAGTTTTTTTCTTGCTGATTTGAATCATGATGTAAACCATTTATTGAGATGGCAATGAGGTGTATCAATGCTGGTGAGGGGAGGTTTTGGTAATCTCATTTAAAAGCTGCAGTTCTAAAGTCATTTTATTCAGAAACCTGTTGACTTGCAGGATGATACTCTGAAGTGTTCATGCGGATACAGCAACACAAATGCAGGATTAGAATGGTAACATTATTACAGAACCCCATTTTACTTAGGAAATACCTTTGGAGTTGAGCTTCAGGATCCAAGCCGTTGTTTGAATGTTATTTCGTGCCATAACATGCCTCTACATATGTTCAGCAAGGATTTAGCATGAGGTAGTCTCTCAACCACACCATACCCAGACACAAGAATCAAAACTGGGGCCTGCCTCCAATTGCCGCCTCCAATGGAGACTTGGATGGTGGCGAGGAGGAGAAGGGCCTTTTCAGTGGTGGCCAGCCCAGTTATGAAACAGGATCCCCACTGAGGCCACCTGGTGGCACTTGTAATATTCTTTATTTTATCATGTTAATGCTTTCTCCATTGCAGGTCATTAAATTAGTTTATTGGGGCTTTGTTAGCTGTTTAAACAAGTCTTATGATTGAATTTTTATAAGCTATTGTAACTTTTAAAATATTTTAATTTAGTAATCTTTTAATTTTTCAAAGGCATTTTGTCTTATTATGTGTTATAAACCACCCAGAAAGCTTTGAATATTGGACAGCATAGAAATTAAATAAAGAACATGGCTAGCTCTACTCCCCCAAAATTGAGTCTTCCCACGCCCATGGTGGGGTTACAGACAAGTACATGTTGAAAGCAACCTGCTGCAAAAATGGGTTCCAATGTGACATAGCAGAATAAGCTAGCTACTTAAAAATTAATTGGTGGTAAATGAAGGCTTTGGAAGTAGCAGACATGTTCCATGAGTTTGCATTGCATCCTAGGCAGCAATGTTAACACTTTCAGAAAATCATTTGATGCATCAATGGAGAAATGATCAGATTAGTCAAATTGGTGGCATGACAAAGTATCACTGAAACTTTTGTCTCTTCATAAATTTGGAGAATCACAACCTAATAACCAAAGGTTAAATATCCCATTCAAGAAGGTATGGAATACATCTGTATTGCCACTTGATGGTCAATTTAGTTACAATGTTAACTGTTCTTAGCAACCAGGAATTTCGCTCTGTTATGAAATTTAATTTCAAAAAAATAGGAAAGACTTTGAGAAAAGCACTTGAAATCATGCACAAAGGACATGTTAAAGATCCTTAATTACCAAAAATAGGTAAGAAAAATGTTCATTCCAGTAAAAGCATTTTTATAGTTTTATGCCCATGCCTATAGGTTGCAGACTGTATGGCCATTGGTCATGAAATTACTCAATAGGTGATTTTGCACAATCAAAACAAGTCAGTATGGCATAAACCACATTAGCTTGTTCGAAGTTGTAGAGTGTAAAGTTGTAAAACCTGGTCGCAGTTTAGTACATTGTCCCAGTCCAGGCAGCAGGGCTTATTAGAGGGTTAAACAGCCTTCAAATAATCCTACCACAGCCCAAGGCTTATTTAAAGCCACCTTAATTTGATTGTGGAAACTAGGTTAATGAGATAAAAGAAATCCTGGTGAAACAATAATACCTTGCAAAAGGTAAGGTAAGATTCAAACAGAGACATTCCCAGTTGGCAAGAAGCAAAAATGTTCCATCACCACCTTAAAGCTTCTCTTCTGCCAAACTGCACTTTCTCCTTAGCCAGGGAGAGTATCATTCTGCCAGTGGCTACTTCTGCCCACAGTACAATGGATCAATCTTTATTCCTATTGATGTTTGCCTGCTGCTGCTGTGCATCTGCCATTATATGAATAAAGACCATGTAAAACCAAAGCACATAAGGTTAACTGAAGGCTGGCATTCAAAATCAACACAATGTGAGATAAGTGGCTTTTATGGAAGTTTTCCTTCCACCGCTCCTATCACCACACTTGATAAATAGCAGTGAGATGAAGCAAATGGAAATAAAGAAAACAAAAGCCTACATCTGCACAACATTTAGAGATGCCACCAAAGCGCACAGGGTAGATAATTTAAATCTGCATGCAAAAGGTAATTGTGCGACTTTCTTCTTGACATTACCATCTTCATAAAACATAATCAATTTCTAATTATCCCTTCAAAATGAAAAGGCAAGATTAGCTTAGGGGAAAAAGGAACGGTCCACATGAGAAAAAAAATAATCTAATCACAAGAATCAATGCAAGGAGGGCAGCAGTGTGATTCATAGCTTTTAATTGTGAATGCAAACAATTTGTAGTCCTCAAATAATTAGATGGAGCCCTTTTCTTAAAAGTTAAGTTTTCTCAATGGGTTCTAACTAGCTGTATCAAATCATGTCAGGCAGCTTGTGCGTTCAAAGGATTAAAAACATGAAGCACTTTGGGCCCTTGAAATACTAAGTAGAGTCCATCACCTTTATTCACCACCACTCCAGCCCAAATAAGTGCGAGAAAAAGGTGCTTCCAGCCAAAACTTAATGCATCTCTGCAAAGGTCTTTTATCTAGTGCAAATTATGATTAGTTTTCAGGGATCTGATGTGCTAGCAGTTCATTTATTACATGCAGTTGCTTGGGATCATAAGGGTCCCTATTAGTCCAAACAACTTGAGATTGCATTGGCACACCTGGATCCTCAGAGAGGAGTGCAGTGATTTCAAAAGGATTAAAAAGAAACACTTTTTGGGACCTTTACAAGCACTCTCTGCATCCTTCATTCAGGGAAGGATGCAGAAAGTACAGATACCTTCAGATATCTTCGGGTTCAGTTCCCCAAGCTAAAGTTTAAAACACCTGCAGATCTACTTTCTGTCCACACCTCTTTTAGAGAACAGGTAAAGAGAAGTGTTTGCTCACAGATCTTTGTAGAGAATTTATTTACACTTACTGCATGATGTCAGCTGAAGCTTGGGTTGTATGGGGACCTATACACAGAGTTAAAGTTGGGGCTGCCGTGTTTTCAGCAAGTTAGGCTCCATGGGAAAAGTGGTTACTTTTATTCCAACTGTTTTGCTATTCACTACAGTAAGAGATAACACTCATGATGAATTACTACAGAAAAACATGGCTACATACTGACCTGGGTTGTGCAATCAAAACAACCCACCATTAGGTTGTTTAAGCCATGGTAAGTTGTGATGAATGGTGGGTTGAATTTGCTTACTCAGTACCTGGTTGTAGTCTTTCGGCAAAATAGTTATGAATATTCAAAATAGCTATCTGCATGCTCTGGAACTCATGGGCTGTTGGAGCTGTGTGAACCAACCCACTATATGAATTCAGTATGTGTGATTCTGCATGTTTAAGAAGAAAAATAAGTCAGCTTGTTTCCTGTCCCAAAGATACGGTTTGTCATGCCATCTGAACCCAGTGTGGGTGGGAAATGGAGGAAGCTTAGAAAAGTAGGCAACCCATGGTCCACCAGGTTGCAATAACATGACAAACTATACCAAGTGAGGGTAATTATGATAATTTGGTGGCATGTGACTGGCATGCATAAGGCAGAGAATTAAGCTACTTTGTTTTCAAGAGGACCTGGTCATTTTCTGATCCTTTATAACTAACATTACTGCTTTAGCCTCAGAACATTTTTGACATTAATGTGTTTGCAGATCTTTCCTCACTATTAACAATATTAGAGATAATAATTAAGGTAATCATAGCAGATTATCTGTATGTTAATTGACTAATCTGCATATGAATAATTCTGAAGGAAAAAAAGGCATTCTTTGGTTTCAGTTAATGCCTGCCTCAACACCTGAGTGCATTATCTTAGAAGATACTTCATCTAAGATATTGCCTGCTACTCAGGATTTCTGCAACTACATTTTTTTAGAAAGTTGCCTGGTCGATTTGGGTAACCTTTTATTTGATTAAGAGGTATGAAAACTGATGACCCTAACCAGTCAACTTATTTTGTCAGCTTAACATAAATTTAAAATCCTCCTTAAACATAGTTTAGCAGCCAAATAGCTGTGCCTCTTAACAGTAACTGATTTAATGGTATATTTAAATCCAATGGTTTTCAGTATATATATTAAAGCTTTGATGCAGTTCTCCATCATTTCAATATATCCTTAATGCTTTCCTATTTAATCTTATTAGACTGCAAACAGCCCCATCTTGTGGTGCAAAGGAGATAAGAACAACTAGCTCTAATGTTCCTTTTTAAAAACTAATTTAAAGTTTTCAAAATATTTGCAGACTATTGTGTGTATTAATATCTCAAAAGATACATTTTGGTAGGTTTAAGAAAGCTTTTTTTAATTACTTAAAATACAAGGAAATTACCATAGTTCTCAATTTTCACTGAAATGGTACAAATATAGCAATAAGCCATACCTTTATGCTTAAGGTGGTGTGTGGGGGTCCAAGTTAGAGGTATGAGGCCTGCTAGTTCATTACTTAGAAAGAGGTGGCGTAACCTATTTCTATTTAGAAAAAGATTACTATTCCCAAGGAGGTGCTCACAGTCATCTCCTTCATACGGAATACTCAATAAATTTACAGCTTCTGCAAAGTTTCTTATACCTCACACTGCCTTCCCATTTGCCCTCGCACATCTCCAGAGTTGCCGTGTTTCTAAAGTCCTTCCATGTTCAGCCCCTCTCTGTTCAGTCTTGAAAGTACTGGGACACATTTTCACTGATCATTTCGTAAAAAAACAAAAACAAAAACCCACAGTGGTTCATCATCTCCCACCTGGTGCTTTTTGGTTGCTCCACGGGATGAGGCTTTAACATTTATTAAAGTCAAGAAAAACATGGATGGAAGGCAAAAGAAAGATTGTTTTGTTACAAATATATACACAATGTTCAAAGAGCTGCAAAGCAGTGTTTGATTTTAGCGCTTCTTCCAGGTGAATTTTCTGCGGGCTCCCTCTTGACCTGGTTTCTTTCGTTCTCTCACGCGTGGATCACGTGTCAAGAGACCAGCTGTAGAAGTAAGAGGAAGAGCTTTATGCAATTCAGTTACAGTGAGATTCAATAATACATTATAAACAATTGTGAAGCTTGGGGCAGAAAAGGGACAATTGTGAAAAGTTCTTGAGTTAGGCTCTATTTTGAGTAATATTAGCAAGTTGATTAACAGAAGACCTGGCTTCTTTTTGCAGGCAGCTTTCTCATAAGGTGATATTCCTGGTATCTTCCTCACCTATAGAAGCAACACTCTGGAATTTAGTTGAGGGCTAGTTAACTGGTATCCTTTATACTTTTATAATTCAAACAAGCATGGACACGGACTTAAGGTTTCTTTTTAGGGGCTATAAAATAGTTTTTTCCTGGTCCAACAGAAATAAAAGGTCATAATATTGAACCTAAATAATATTAGTCTCAATTTCCATATTTATTTTGTACAATTATTTCCACATTGTTATTGTATGGAAAAAGTGCATTTTTCATGACATGCCTTTTAATTCAAACCATACTGAACTTTATTTAGGTAAAGCACATAACTCCCGCTAGGCCAACTGGGCTCTTTATGCTTGTACCTTGCCTCATAGACTCCATCTCTCTTTCAGTGATGAAGCTACACAGTGCCCTTGCAGAAGCTAAACGGATTGCCCCAGCCTGCGCTGCTCTTCCTCCTTCAGAAACAGAGCAGAGCATGTCATGTTTCTCCAGTCGATCGAGAAACTGGAATGGAAACATCAGCTGCTCTCTGCAAATACAAGTCAGTTAAGATCACATATCAATAATCTTGTTAATCATGAAAGCCGAGCTATCCATGGATCAAATGAATCCAAACTATTATGAAATTACATGCAGATACATTCTTTTGTAAGCCACCTTCACAGAACAGAAATCAATCCACCTTTCTCTTTGTTATAAAAGAAACAAAGCACAATCAACTATATCAAGCAATAATTCATAACAAATGCCTCATTAACCAGGTAGTTTTTCACCCTTTTAATTATACAAACTATAGATACAGTTCCCAGGTTATGAATGACTTCCATTCCTGAAAAAATGGAAATTAATCTTTAAGTCAAATTTGTATGTAAGTCAGATGATGTATAACCGGCCCTCCATATTTGCGTGAGTTAGGGGCACAGGACCCTCAAGGAAGTGGGGAACATGCAAATATCTCTAGTTCCTCCCCACAACTGACCAGTCTCCCTCTTTGCAGGAATAAAATGCCAGAGAGATTTCAGTCTCCAGTTGGTGGGGTAGAAAGGCCTGCTTTGGAGGCTTCTTCTCTATCCTTTTATTTCTTCTCCATGGCAATACTTTGGAGGCCTTCCTTCTCTCCCCTTTCACTTCCTCTCTCCCTATGAGGATGACAATTAGAGAAGTTTGAGCAAACCTCTAAACTCATTCTATACTGCGGTGTCATGTTGAATCGGTGTACTTCACCCAGGGTAGACAAAAGTTAGTGCCAGCGGCAGAAAAAAGAAGGCGATAAAGCCATTCAACTGGCTCCTTAGTCATTCCAATCTTTTCCCTTGGAAAAGTGAAAATTCAAGTGTTATAACCTGGACACACAAAATATTTGCTCATGGCATACAATCTGCTTTAATGCAAGCCATAGTGTGACAGTGGGGGAGATTATCTTAAAAACTTAATGCCAAAAGACGGCTCCTAAACAATGCCTAAGCCAGACACAGTGACCAGGAGAGATAACTAAGACTCAACTGAAAAGGAAGCAGACTCTGAAGCCAGGCTTGCGTAACTTATTTTTCCCCAAGCCAAAAGCTTGATCATTGCACTGTAAGTTATGCAGGCCAGCTAGAAGCAGTAGTAGGCAGTGCATCTCTGCAAATGTACTGGAGACAACAACAACCATCACTAGTGACACCATCCTGCTGCCTGCTGGGATTATCTATTTAACCACAGCTGGAAACAGGGTGTCTTTGATCCTATTTAGTACATCTCTTACATAACTGGGACCTCAATTCCCAGTGTAAAACTGTAGCCCAGGTTAAACAGACTAGGGCCTATTATACCTCCACCTCTGAAACACTGGCTCTATGAATGGAATGGATGTACAAAAATGACACCTTCACATTACATGGTTATTTTTACAGACACTTGGTAGAATTATCCACTGAGTGAAAAAAATGAATAGATGTTTTGCTTGCATGTGGGTTTTCAAGAGCACACAGGTGTCTGATCTGTACTGCTCTTTGACAAATTATAAGAGCCACGTGGACTTCATATCCACGTTAAATGGGAAAAAGGGATGGAAAAAAAATTACCCTTGGAAGTTCTTATTTCAAAAGCAATCTAATTCAGCCTTCAAGCTGGGGAATACTAGTTTGGGGTGAAGGGGTAACAGAAATTTTGGCTCATGCTTCATTCGGTTTTTGGCTCTAGTAACACAAAAGTAATGTATGGAATCCTACTAATTTTTAACTGTTTTTTAAACAAACTGTTCTGATAATGAGATCCTGAAAATATAGGGATATACACATGCTATACAACCTTACAGAAATATTTGTTTTTTTAAAAAGAAAGAACTGATGAGACTAACATGGCTATAGTTCTGGTTTTGAAAATTAAAATGCACTTTCACTTACTGTACTCACCTGTCTTGCAAAACTGGAAAGTACTGTATATAATCTTCTCCATTTACTGTAATTTTTCCAGTCCCATTGTCATAAATAGTTACAGTTGCTCTTGCTGTCTTTCTTTCACCTTGAAAAACAAATCATATTTTTATTCTAAACATTTCAAACATCATTTGCAACAAGCTGTCAATCCTGACAAAACAGAAGTTGAGAGTCTCTGATAAACATTATTTGCTGGTCATCGGCCACAAGGAGATTAATACTGACCTAAATTCTACATTTGCTGTAGGATGGGAAAGACTCCAGTTGCCAGACTTCTGACATGTTGCTATGAGCATCACAGCCTTAACTTTTCAGGTAAGGTAAATAACAGCAAGATCTGACTCCCAGCAAACAGACAGGAACTTAGTTCACATCATCACCACAGCTTAAACACACTGCTTGGCTTACTTAAACTACAGTGTACACCAGAAGCCATTTGCCTGATTACCTACTTGGTTGAAGCTTGTTGTATCACACGATACAGCATGGCTTGGTGGACAGGATAACAACCCTCAAACAACACATGGGCTGTAGCTGGATTATTTGAGGGTTCTTGCCACCTCCAACTGTCCAGCTTCTAAGCCACTGTAGTTTATTATTCCTGGTGGGGGTAGGGTTAGGGTACAGGTGAATTACCAAGCAAGTCTGGAACTCCTGATTTGTTCTAGGGCTTGGGGTGCTTTGTAAACCACCCTCACTAGGTTCAGATGACTTATGTTTCTTCCCTGATCATGTGAACTTGCCCAGTGTCCCTCTTTTGCAATAAGACAATAATGCTTATTGTCAGGTCTCAGTCATGGCACTGAAACATATTGTCCTACCTAACAAGTACTAGTCACAAACCAGTGAATTATTATTACCACCCTCCTGGGGAGCAGCTTGTCATGTCATCTGAACCTAGTGAGGGAGGGGGCAGTTTCAATCACCCTGCAACCCTAGAACAAGCCAGAGGTGCAAAACTGGACTGTGATCATTCCCTATCCCTGCCAGTAGCTGTTACTAAAATGCCGAATAAAGTACCAAACAGTAAGAACAAAAATGGTTATCCAATTTGAAACGAACGTTTGGTGAAGGACTCAATGGCCTTCAGGTCCCTTCCAACTCTACTAATCTATGATAACTTATTTTTCAGATTGCCACCATTGCTATGAATTTTTTCTTTTCTCCCCCAGTAGAGGGTAGCATTCACTGACAATTCAAAATGGCAGCCATTATCATAAATAGAAATAAAATTAGATTTATTCAAGATTATTTGTTTTTTTCTGCTTAGATTCAGAATGATATGGATGCTCTTCACTAATAGTGACCCACATTTTTTTTCAAGTAGCAATTTTACTTTAAGTAACCTTTGCATCATTAACATTAAAAGAAAAGAGATATGCTTAAATCTTAAGTACTTCAAGTAAAATCCTTGGCATGATGGATTGAGTATGCACCGTGCAAGATTCTAGGGCAACAATCCTCTGTTTTTCTCAAGATAAATTTTGTTGATTGGAAGGGAAAAAAGCATATTACTATAGACACTGTAGCAACTAACAGAGATATGAATGGAACAATGTGGGTTTAAGGCTGCAATCCTATACATGCTTTCCTGGGAATAAGCTCAATTCAGTGGGGCGTATATTCAGGTAGAAAAGCACAGCAACCATAGTGTAAGAACAGTCATTTTTATCTATGCAGTAGATCTATGCAGTAGAATCTCACTGAGATTTCACTTTGTATCTCACTGAACTGCACTATGCATATTATGCCACTATTTCTCAACGAAGGAAGTTAGGTTGCTTCCCTGTAACTCATTCTTCAAGTGCTCATCTGGGCCTTTGCACATATGAGCTCTGCACTTGCATGGGGCCTTTAGTTGGGAAGATTTCCAAGCTAGACTTGTTCTAGTGGGAGCCCCTCCCTCGCCTCCCCATGCTATATATGTAGGAGGGGCTCCTGCCATTTTCTCCAGTTTTCGTAATACTGACTTGGTGGCCTCAGAGAGAGGCTGGTTAATGGCTGACCTGTGCCAGCACAATACATATCCAAAGGAAAGCTATGATACCAAAGGTATCAACACCAAGGTGGGGTAGTAGGAGGTTATGTGAATGGTGTACCACGTGAATGGTAACATGGTGTAGCGAAGGACCAGTGGCTGGCTCCATTGGCAACATTATAGCCAGTTGCTGGGGAGAACAGTACTCTTGAAGGGTAGACCCTGATGGTGGGTGGGCCAGAGTATGAAGTATTGATATACTGGGAGAGGGAGGAGAGAAGCTCTTGCCAGAATGAGTCTAGCTTGGAAATCTTCCTGACAACAGGTCCTTTGTAGGCACAGAGCCCATGTATATGATGCACAGAGACCACTAGGAAGGACTAAAGTTATAAATATTCCATATAATAACTCATGGAGACACTTGCACTAAAAGTATTTGCAGTACTTTCAGTATTTTGATCAATGGACACAAAACAATTTCATGATGTGAGAAAATTAAATGATGCACTTTTTGTTTGTATTATCTACTGTTCTTCGTGCAAAGAATGCCTTTGAAAACACACAGTTCCTTCAAAAGGCTAGCTGCTTCCTATTTGGTAGAAATTTTTAATAATCTTTAAACAGCATCAAGTAGAAGAACTGGGGAAAAACAGCCCAGAAGGAAGAGCCATCTGAGCCAATATGTAGTTTAAAACTGAAAAACTTGGTAGGTAAAGCCCATCTAGCAGAAAATGTAGGGCAGGGAAGTACAGATTGCCTCTGTCACTCTTCCCACTGTATTGGGTACCCATAAGTCTTTGAGAGCTTGGCACTTACAAACATTCAGGTAGGATTTGCACTCTTACTGAACTTTGGTTTTATTCAGTTTTTGTCTTAAACTTTTTAGGATTTCCACTTCATCTTCTATTACGCTTTGAAACTATGTTTTTAAACTTTACTGTGTGAACTGCTTAGAAAACTTCAATTATTGGGCAGTACAAATATACAGTAATTGATACGCAACAGCCTGAGTAAGGGGCAAACAAATTCAGGGGATCTGACTCCACCAGGAACTATCCCCCTTGCTAGTCCATTTGGCAATGGCAATAAAACCCCCTTTTCACGGTAAAACAAGGCATGCACACTCCTTAAGTGCACACTCCTTGTGGTACAGCAGGGCCCCTGGCCCAATGAAGTGTTGCCTGAATCACTAAGTAGCAAATATGGTCATAGCTTCCATCACTCCCTTTTACATGTGTTTTTGTACACAGATAATCACTTAAAATAATTGTTCTGTTCATCAAGAAGAAGTAGCTAAAAGATCTTTATGCCTTGGTCATCTATTTTTAATTTTATGAACTATGACACATAGTGCTTCATTAGAACAAGTACTGAAGTAGCATCTTTTTTCAGTATTAACAGACAGCAGACCAATCCTAAAACATCTTTTGATTTCTCAAGTATGCAAATAAAAAGGGGGAGGGAGCCAAAATTTACCTTCTGCAGTGCTAAAGGCCACTCCTCGTTCATCATACTTCAGGGGTTCAATCACCTGTTTTCTGGATTGTATGATCAATTCTTTGCGAAATTTCAACACAAACTCTTCTTCGATGCCACAGCATGGTAATGCTACTAATCTTTCTAGCAGCTGAATACACCGTGAATACTGTAGACAATAAAAATTCATTAAGGGGTGGGGGTGCAAGTGTAATTGCATTTGCTAGCGACTTCTATTTTTACATGTTTGATCTTTTTAGTTCTGCTCTTATTGATAACTTTTTGGCAGGATGACACTTCTGAATTTACATGCTGCTTTCAAAACAACATGCAGATGTATCATTTTCTATGTGAATAAAGATACCTAATCCTTTTTCCCCTAGCAACAAATGAATCCGTAATTCAAAAATATGATCAAACTCTTTGTAAGACAGGATTACCACATTAGGATGAAGTTCATCTTAATTTTCAAAGAAATATTTAGTGGCCTCAAAACAGAATTCAATTCTTTGATGAAAAGTGGCAAGAGGTAAGCTTCCCAACTCATTTCAAAAGAAGTTGATGCCTTACATTTAAATGGAAATAATTTTATTTTCCTAAACTCTACTTGTTAGGTGATTATATTTCATAATACATACAGGAAATGTGTATCTATGCCATTGGCTGTTCATGTGAGAGTTACTTTAATGTTTATGATTTTCTTTAAAAACCAAACAATCAAGCTTTTTAAAAATTCAAGAGATACTTGACTTAAAGGGCAAGCTTTTGAAATAAATTATCCTTTGCTACTGTATACTTCTCTTCTCTACATCTTGAACAAGTGATTATAAAGTAAAATGCCTCACTGATAATACATGGTCTTTGCCAAGGCTTATTTGAAGGCCTTATGGCCCCCTGGCAACAAGGAATTAAAGTAGTTGTAGCTATAAAATCTTTTCACACGATGGCAAACACGTTGGGGTCATTGGAAATTCTCACTGCAAGCTGGAAAAATGAAGGAAGAACAGACCTTAAACATTTAGTGCCCCAAATAGCATAAGGCTCTGTATATGCACAAACACACCGGCAACCATCAAAACCAGCATGGGAGAGAATCAGCTGGCAAAAGAGATGAGGCCACAATGATTCAAGGAAAGCTATCTGCACTCTAATAACCAACTTTTTGTTCTAAGTAATCTTATTGCAGATATACTGTCCCAGCACCCCAAAGATAGCACCACTATCCATATTGCTGCACATTTCTTAAGTGTCAACAGTCTCCTAGGCTTTAAAGATAGTCAGCATTTAGGACTACTACTTGTTTATGCAGTGCTTCCTTCCTATTTTGTCTTTTTAAACAAACATTTGTTATGTTATTTTGTTATGGAATTCATTTATTCTCACTGAGACAGTCCATTTATCTTAATATTACTAAAAAGATTCTGGATTCCAAGAGTAGCTGCACCCCTGCCCCCAGCAATGTTGAAGAGAGTGAGAGGAGTGGCAGCTGAAGAGTAGTCTTGAAGCTTTAATGCACCAGATTTTCAAAAAGCCTTGCTCTGGTGTTAGTCATGACAAGTCATCCATGTTTCCCAGGCATAAAAATGACGATGGATTGTAATACATAGTTGGGGGTGGTTTCATATAGGGACCAAAATGGGGAAAATGAGACACAGAACTTGAATTGAGCAGAAATTAGGAGCAGAAGGGATCATATTATCCAAGAATTATATGACTACTCAGATGAGAAAGGTCTGGTGCATGAGGGGCACAACAAGCAATGCAGTTTCAGGTTCAAAGAAGAGAACAGATTCTTGGATTGAACTGGAGATGAAATCAGGCTGAAGTGGATTTTTATGGGGGTAGAAAATTCCTTAGGAAAAAATCTGTCCTTCTACTTGGAAAATTGCCAGGCAAGGAAAAAGGATTCAGCCAACATAGTGACACTGTTCACTTGTTAACAACATATTGTGCAGGAGTGGGGGGGGGGGGGTTGCTTCTTTCACTTTAGCACAAAATACATGGTCAGCTCCTTCATAGGTTATGCAGGGTCATATGCACACCCAGGCCACTGGGTTCACACACCATGCTGCACAACCTGTAGGAGCTGATCAAAGGTTGTGCACCACAATGGAAAATGCAGGAATTCTGCAGACAGCGTGTCCACTAGCCCATAACAGCTCGCTCCTTTTCCAATTCATGGGTTGTCATCAAATGTGAACAGGGCTGTTGTGTAAGGGAAGGGTTTTTTCCCCCAACGGGGGAGGTAAGTAATGTTCACACAAACATATGATTTCAAATTCTATAGCCTCAAGCGAGATTGTCTGAGAAAAACTTTACTGGGAAATTCAGCTAAATGCATGATTTTGGTGATCAAACTGTCCAACTGTTAGCTAAACTATCTGCCCAGGAATCAATGAAGTTATTCCATAATACGTGGTATATGCGGTGGTGTACAAGCAATAGATCTGAGAACATGATTAATCCCTGTCTCCAAGAAGAATAATTTTTTTAGAATCCTTAAAAAAACAACCAGTAGCTGTTCCGTTAGGATACAGGGTTCATTAAATAAAGGAGATTAATTACTCACATCTTGATCTGACAGTTTTTCCACTAACATTTCTTCCAATTCCTCTTTAATCAGCCATCTGCTGCCAATCAGGTTGCTGTTTAAAATATCACATATATTCTCTTTTTAACTAATCATGCAATTAAGAGTTAGATTGCGAAGGACCACACATACAGTCATACTTCATTTGGAACTATACTTTTCTTTTTGCTTTGAAAAGTACAAGTTAGAGTGTCAAACTTGAGTATTTGAAAAAAGTAAAGATCAGTAGTTCCAACTTGATAAGTTACTTAAACTAACTATTAATAATTCTAAAACTGGAATAGTAAAAGGCCAAGCCTCGATTTAATTTAAAGGCTAATTGACTGCAGGACTCTAACATACACATAAAACATTCATACCACAATGAAGTTTGATAGACAAGGTTTTTAGAAAAGCACACAAAACAAGTCTGCGAGCACAGAATAGTCACTTTTTTATCTTCCCTTTTATCTTCTCCTCTGCCTAATGGTAGGGCCAGTGTTTGAAGCACTAAGGTAGAAATGGCATATCATATATGCAGCTATGATCTGACATAGACAAGCCACCAGCACAAGCATATGAAATTAGCAGTGGTAAGACAAAGTAAGAGTAGCAGGACTGGGTTTTCTATATTCCTAAAACTAAGAGAATAAGAGTCCAATGGCTTGCCACATGCCAAAAGAAAAAGAAGCTAGTCATTCTCTAGTTTTGCCTGGTTCACAGGTTTTCTGTATCACTGAACACAGGGTAATGGAATGATGAGCGTTTCTCAGATCTGGTGCTGTTCATTCACTCAACAGCTTGTTTCTCCTTATTTTGTTCTGTCTCACTACACTTTAAGACTGAGGAAGGCCACCCATGGCCCATGACTAGCTTACTTTGGCCCTCACCGGGCCCAATCCAGCCCACAACAGGTTGAAGAATGTCCATGGCATTGGCCCTTTGCTTTATCCAAAGCCCCAACCCCTGAGGATAAGGGGCACAAAGGAGAATCCATTTATTTCCAAATGGTGATAAACTGGGGATTGACCTGAATCACCCACACTGCAACCAAAGTGCAACTTGTGCAAGCTGCACAGAAATGAGCAGTCTGGCAGCCAGGGCTTCCATAAGTCAATTCCTGCAAATCCCAGCTAAGCCCCTTCCTAGGGCAGGAAGGAGCAGCCTGAATCACCCAGGAACTGTGGGAGCCTGGCTCCACCAACCCCAGCATGGAGCCCCACACCCCTCAATGTGCAAATAAATAAATGTGTGTCTGAAGTCTGATAATTCATTGTGAGGCCCTGTCCCACTAGCTTGATCCGAGGAAATGAAATCTGGCCTTGGGACTGGCTGCCCTCTCCTGCTTGAGGCCATTTATTTTATCTCTTTCTCATCCATCCTTTGCTCAATTTATTTGTTTCTACTTATTCTTTTGCCCTTTAAACTACTTTTAGATTAAAAAAAGAATTCACTCCCTTTATGCTATTTTCCCCTTTTTCTAAATTCATACCTACTGGAAACCCTCATTTTTTATTTAATGATTTATATTTCAAGCTGGTCATAACATATTCTGTCCTAAGCCTTTTAACTATATCTTTAGGAAGGAGAACATGGATCACTTACTGTGAAAATGTGCCCAACTTTCATGTGATAGAGGCTTTCAATAATGGATTAAGTCTCCCCCTAGCCTGGAAAGGCAGGGATCACATAGTCAATACTTTTTCCCTAGCAATGAACTCAGGACTCTTCCTTGTAGAGGGAAAAGGACTAAATTCTTATTATTGAGGAAATCCCTTATCAACAGGAGAAATTCTCAGGCAGAAAATGAGGAGACAGAAGAGGCAAAGAATGAGGTAGAAGAAACTCTGTTGGCGAGTGCCTTCCGTGTGTGTGTGGGGGGGGTTACGTTGGAACGTCTTTTGCCAGGGTCTTTGAGAGTATCCTTGTCTTTTGGGTAAGTCTCTATAAGGTAGGCAGCTACTGCAGCATCTACCACAAGCACCTTTAAATTGTCCATGGTCTGCTGCAGCAAGAAGGTTTTGGTTTTGTAGCAATTTTACCTTTTTTTGGTCTGAAAGTGGGCGTGCCCACTCCACCCTACTAGTTTGTAAAAAAAATACAGAGTTGTCATTCCCCCTTCCTTGATGGTGACTAATACACTTTTGGGATGCTCAGTAACAATTCCAGGGATGCTATAATCTTAGAGAGGAGTAGGAACACCTTCTTATTGAAAATATTGGTACTGGAAATACCTTTTTATTGAACTGCCAGCTACTGGAAGGTTGGTATTGGACATGACTGGACTATTTTATTTCCTTCCTATCTGAAAACTCTGTCTCTGATTTGGAGGTTGAAGGAATCAAGCTACTGCTACTGTCCATTTCTCTACAAGATTTTGACTTGTAACATAACTGATTTGCGGGCACCAGGAAAGCAATCCATTCAGAGGAGAAGTGCAGGCTTGAGGACACTTATACAATATCCTATGCATTTGTTTAGGTGCAGGAGAAGGGAAGGATTTAAGCAAAGGTTTGTATCTTCTCTTGTGAATCTATCTTTAACTTGCTATTTCAGTATTTGGCCAGAGCACTCCAAAAATAACTGCATTGTCAAATCTGCTAAAAAATAGGAAAGAGCTAATGCTGGAGACTGCAGTGACTAGTTGAAGGAGCACTTAGTTGGCCAGCCTGCAACCGATATAGGTAAAGATATAGTCACAATACTGGGCAAGACCAGAACACTTTGCAAGGCAGAAAATAATGCCTCTTTTGGCATAAAAACAGAAAAGGAATTGATATTATCTTCCTCAGCAAATGTGCTCTCCTGTTGCTCCTCCTCCTCCTCTCTGGTTGCCCCCAAGTCATCCTTATATGACTGTGTGGACAGAGCTTTGTTGAAGCAGTTTACGAGCCAGTGAGGGCTGGGTCAACTGGTCTCACAGGACGGCTAAAAATGGCTCGTACAGGTGCAAAGACACTCCAGTGGGCCCTTGCTTATAGTAAATGTAAATAGAAAAAAGGATCTAGTTCTGTTCTGGACAAAAGGAAGTAGGGACAAACTGGGTGAGGAGCCTAAGCTCACTAGTACAGTCACACATTTTGGTCATGTGATCCTTACCTTTGCTGGGTGGTTAGGAAACTTATTTTGGATACCCACACCCACTGGGAATTCAATTTTCATGTTGCTTTTCTACTCCTCAGCTCCAAAATCTTCCTTTGATTCAAGTTCTCCCTCCCTTCTCAATCCATTATGAATCTGACTTATCCATATCTTAATACTGACTTTCCTTCAACTATCATTTATGGCCCATCATTTAGGACCAGCCAGACTGCTAGTTCTCCTGAAGTTGCCCCAGTTCCAGCTCTGTTTATTTGGCATTTCTTGGGTCTATTGTCTGGAAGATTCTCAGTCTAAGCCAAAGAGGGCTGTATGCAGTGATGGATGTACTTCATGAGAAAAGAGCTTCTAATTGTAACAGCAGAGGGAGAATACCCCATAGAGATGCCATTTTCATTAGTATCCCTGTGGTGAAAGCAACATGTGCTCCAGGAAAGGAAGTTGGTAAGGGCCAATCACACTTCCAACCCTGCTCTAAATTCTGTTCTTTTCCAAGCAAAGAGATTATACTCTTTGCTGTCAGTTGCTTACCATCTGTGCTGTCTCTGCTTTACCTCTGACTCACTCCTAGAATGTTTCACTCCATCGTTCTCTCTCATATCACTCAAGAGTCATCTCCAAGGAGGCCAGAAATACAGCCCAGCCAGTTGTTCCTCACTCTTCACTATTCAGTCCCTTCCTTTCCTCATCACCCTCGCCAAACTGCTTCTTTTCCAATTACACAGCATATTTGAGTGACCCTCATTTTCTCCCAGGTCTTTCAGTTCCTCTAACCCTGTCTTGGCACAACCCTTCACCTAATTACTCTGCTCTCTTAAAGCATATTGAATTGATTTGTTTGCATTTTTTACCCCAGTACATAGGCAGCTAAAAATCTGTATACAGCCCCTAAAAACACCATGATTCCAAAGCACCTATATTAAAGGTTTTATCCAAATAAAACTCATCATACTTGGTTCTCAATGAAATCAGTGGGATGTTAAGCAGTCATGATTTAACTTTCACATTGATTTCAATGGATCTAGGTGTATCTAAGTTTGGACTGAACCAAAGATTTTAAAACAAAATTTTTTGAAATCTTAAAATGATTCAGCAGGGAAATTACATCACACTAGCACAATATATCATGAAAATCTTGGATGGAAAATGCATTTGCAGCCCTCACCCTCAAATCTATATTACTATGATCTCAGAAGAAAAAACTTACGATTTGATTTTATTCTCAGGAACTAATCCTTGAGCAAGTATTTGATCTTGGTATTCCAGAATGTGCAATAGCTTACCATATGTTTCCTAGAATAGAGGGGAAGAAGGCATAGGTGAATTCCAGTTCTAAGCTTCTACACAAAGTTTAATCTGTATTAAAGTATCTGTAGGAAGAAGATCAAGGACAGATCTCTTTTTTGTGATTTGAGATGCAATGGGGTGTAACACATACATAAACCAACTTTAGTTATAGCAAGGAAAATGTTATGATTAGTTTATCTGCAGTAGTAGCCAAAAGAAAAATGATGCCTTACTTCATATAATCTAGGCTCTTTAGCAGTAGCTGATGCCAATTTTATGCAGTAGTAGACCATTATTACATTAAATACAAGAAACCAATATGCAACCTTATATGACTTTAGCATTATCTTCAGTAATTAACCTCAATTACAACGAACTCTTGGGTCCAAGGCAGAGTGAACAGAAGGTTTCTCATACAGATTACCTTTTCTGTTTCCTCCTCTGCCTGTACCACCTAAATGTCTGACTGGAGGTCTGGGAGGCCATCCTGAACAAGAGACTATATTGCAGGGGGTTGCAGTGGGAAAGGGGAACTGCAAACAGAGGCATTTGCACAAAGTGCTGCTGCCTATTTTTTCCTTATCAATGGTTTCTATTGCATCTTTTTGCAGCTCACCCCAGGTCTTTGCTGCAGTCTCCCCCCCCCCCCCCCCGTAAAGGCACTGAGGGGCACAAAGGACTGCACTGATGAGAGAAAAGGAAAGCTGAATTATGTGAATGCACAAAAACTCTGAATTAAAGCTATTTAAGCCAGAATATAAAGAACAAAAGTTTATGCCAGTGCAATAACCTTCTAAAAGATGGTCCAAAATTGAATCTGAAATCTAAATGTGAAGGTTTGTCTAAGACTTACAGATGCTTAAAGAAGGTTCAGAAAGCTACAGTGAGGAGGACTGCATGGCCATTTACCTTATGATGGTTCTAAGTGGAGAGCTGGATGTTCCCCTTTGCAGCCATGCAATGAGCCATGCAAACATTATCTGCACTTGGGATCTATTCTGAAGCTTTCCTACAGCATTTTGTTGTTAAGATCAATCAATTCATCAATCAATCTTTATTATGTGGTCACAGACCCGGCAAGCTGTTAATATCAAAGTCTTTGGATTTTGTGTAAGTTTCAAATGTGTTTTGGAGCCCTTTTCTTTAAAAATGTATATACCAGACAAATGGAAAATATCCTTGAGGCAGTTTATAACCATACATTCCCTTGCCAAAGATTTATTTTCATTTAAAATGTACTATACCTTAACATTATAAAGATTCTCTCTGCACACCAGGGCGCTAAACTTTTAACTATTATTAAAAGCCTAATTCTTCACCAGTCACTACATCCCATGTATAGTCTATATACGTGGTTGATCAAATGCAAGTTCAGATTGAACGATGGTGGCAATCTATTCCTCTGGCCGTGTTATAATGTTGTGTGCATTTGGTCAGACAGTAGCCCACAAAACTGTAAAGAGGGAATACTCATTCATGTAAAGGAGTTTCATTTCACCTTTGCTAAATACCTACCTTACTATTGTCAAATGAAGTCTACATAAATAACTAAATACAAACCACAGATAATTCGAAGAGTTTTTAATCTACTTAAAGGATACACTGCCACATGGACAACTTTTACCTACTTTCCAATTTCAGATCTTAAATTGCATTAATCTACACAGCTGTAAATGTAGGTATGTGCAAAATTATTTGTAGGAGAGCCAATCAATGGACAGGATAATGACACATGCTGTCTTGTAAAAGTATAACAAAAATGTAAGAATTTTGAGAAGCATGTCACTTGGCAAACACTCCTATCTGAAACATTTCAGAAATAAAATTTCGCTTCTTCAAAAGGAATAAGTGAACATTGTACTAACAGATTCCAAAGGCAACAGCTAAAGTCATAAATATACATGTCTATATCCCTTACAAACATAGCTATTATGCAGTAGATTTTATAAGATACTTAGAGCCATATATATATATTGTCATAAAACAGAAGAACTGCATCCTTGATCTTGTCAATTAACAAGATAGACGGTTTTAAACAATGATGCATTGTTGCTGAATAATAAGAGCACAATCTCTGAAACACATCCTGGAAAAACAGAGCATTGGATCAACATAAGTACATTTTGATACAGTTTTCTTGCCACCAGCCTTGAGTGCTGGGGAGGGGCATGGGGAAGGTGAAATAGGCTAAGGTGTTTATATACAACCAGTATCTAAGAATATCAGATATTAGAGTCTATCGTGATTTATTTTTTGAGGAAAAGTACATGGTTTTTATATTGAACAGGTCCTGTATTTTATTTAAAGGGTTAGGAAGAATAAAGAGTGCTCAACGTCACTTTTCAAAAGTGTGAAATGATCTAAATAATTTTGATCCATTAAACTAACATAAAGGGTCAATATTTTTAAGTATGCAGTTGAATCCATGTATGAAAGTTTTCTAGCTCAAAAGCAAACTATTTAAATGCCAAAGCAAACTGTTTTCAACAAAGATGAAAATAGAAATGTAAATAATGCTCAAATTGTAATATGTAACTTAACATGTAAGCCACATATAAAATGGAACATGGATGGTCTAGGCCATATAAAGAAGCATAACATTAGCATTACCTATAAAAGTGACACACAGTAAACGCCTCAACTGGAATAAATATATGCTTATAAAGAAAATGCTGAAAAGGCAAATATATGCAACATTTCTTTTGTAATATCTAAAATTTCAACAAGTCATAAAAGGCCAACTGTGCAAGAAGTAATTATTTTACATTTGTCTTAAGTGACTTTTGTGTTTAACAAATATGTATTTGATTTCTGTTCAACTAAGGATCTTATCTTGTAGAAATTTTTCACATATCCTTAGTGAAAGACATGAAAAATCCTGTTTAACCAAATGATTTTATCTTATTCTTTTTAATGAAGGTGTTTCTAAATGCCCTGACACTATTTAAGCAAACTTCCAAATATTCTAATATAATTACATTTGTATTTGTCAAAAGGATTCTTTGTGGAGGAAGATTTAATCAAGTAATGATTCTGACTCCTTTTTCAAAGGTTGAGTCTCAAGAAGGCCTTGCATACCTTTTCTCAAAGGCAAGCAATACCTAAAAACTAAAGTTGTGCTCCTTGTAATTTTTAATTTCTTCATTATGATGGAATGCAACAAAACATCTTGCCCTTGGGTTGCTCTGTTTCAGCCAAAACAAATGCAAATGGCCTGTCAGATGACAGCTACTTGATAAGGCTCCTCTACAAGACCTGCATGCTTTACTTTTTGCCGTGAAACTTGGGATGAAAGGCAGAAGGCAGGAAGAGAATTAATGTAGCATACAGTCTAAAGGCAATGCTACAACCGTGATTAAGTAGAAAAGCTAAAAGGCACAGATTTTCCACAGCCTCTCTGCGTGCAACCCATCCGTGTAACAAGTTGACAGGCCTAGCGCGTCAGCTCCATCATCCTCTCCGACAGCTAAAACGCAGCGCTGCATCCCTTTTCAGAGAAAATTTGCGTCTGCACCATGAAGCGTTGTAGATTATTTCTTAGCACTGCAGGGGGCTCAAGTCCATATGGAACCTTCACAAATATTACCACAGATCAAACCAGCGGCGTTTCGAGGCAGATTTGACATACCTATTTAAATGAACAGTAGGGGTCCTCAGGCTGCCTCAGGGCTGTGCAGGAGAAAACCTCTCTGCAAAGACTACACTGCAGCTCCATTACTCAGCAAAGACACACTCTACATTTATCATTCATTTCATTTCTGCCAGGGCAAGAAGCTCATTTGCCCAAGGTCAACCAAAAGAAAAAATAATTCCTCTCTTCTCCCACAAAAGAAATAAATGTACCTGACAAGTGGGGATTTTGTCCTTTGGGTGTGTAAAGTACAAATATACACAGGATAATTCTAAAAAGCTCAGTAAAGCCATACTTTTATATATAAAGGGAAGTCCTCTAAATGCCACCACCATTTTCAGCCACAGATAACAAGAGAAATAATCTGACACACCAAAAGTTATCACTCTACCAAAAAGAGGTCATTTGTTTTCTATAACTGAACTTCAGTACATATTTAGTCTTCCAAAGATCAATGAATCAAAATCTACAAATGATGCACACTGCACAAATGATATGATTATGTTGCCTCTTCACTAAATAAGTTTGGAGATTCTTAAGCAATTTTTATTTAGTTACCAGAGGGAAATGTGCTATCCTAAGAATTACCTTGCTAACCAAAGTTTCAGCCAGTGCAGAACTGCTTCTCCAACAATAGCCAACTGAGAAGACACACTGCTTCTGATTATGTTGGATGTTTAGATATTATAGGCTGTAGTACAGACAGATCTTTCCTTCAAAAATACCTGAACTTCACTGCACAGTGTTGAACTGGACTTGCAGACTTTTTGCTTGAACATGTTTCTTTAGTTGCTAAAAACTTTTTGCACAAGTGATGAACATTGCACACCAGGGCATTTTTCACACCTTCTTACATGTCATTTTCTTCCCCACTGGGATAGAGGGGTGCTTCTACTTGTCTCCTAATCTCACAGATGGCCAATTCTTCTAAAAAACACCCAGGAAAAAATAGAAAATTGCAAATTTTCTCACCACAGTGAAGCTGCACAATTGCAAAAAAGGTAAAACTAGATTTTTACAACTTAGCAAGGGGGGAAAAGAAAAAGATGGAACATAAGTTCATCTGTTATGTGATCACCAAATGTCTTAAGTGAAAATAGCAAAAGCAAGAGAGGAAAGACAAGGGAGGAATGCTAATACCTAACAGGGACCAAGCATGGGTTAACAGCAATTTCTACTGTACATATTTTTAAGCCACATTACAGTTGTGAGTACACAGAGGCCTGGTGGTAGCTCTCACATTCTTTTGCTGATTGGTACTGCCACTGAATCAGTGTCAGGTGGATTCAGACAACTGAAAGCTACACGGTGCTTATGCTGTGTGTATGGGAGGCTCTTATCTGTAGACTCTGAGTAAAGTTAGTGGAACATGCCTCAGCAATTGGAAATCTGCAGATAGAATGTACAGCTTAACTGCATTATCACAGTCACTGCAAAAGCCACACTGTAAGCTTTTAAAGCAGTTCACACCCATCTGAATCTGGCCTCAGGGTTCCAAACTAGATCCTCCCTCCCTCCCCTCTCTGAAAAGGGTAAAAAATATAGCACACTTTTCTTGGTCCTATCTCTAGTGTTTACAATTCACCAACATTAGAACATTCATAGTTGACTTTAAAAAGGGAAAGGAATCTCTTCCCCCTGTCACCACTGACTATTCTAATTCACCTTTCTGTGTGTGTATGCTTTTTAATTTCCACCCAGAATTCTGTATGTTGTCTAAATTTTTCCTATTCGTCCTTGTGTCTCTGTGCCTTCTCTCTCTCTCTCTCTCTCTCTCTCTCACTCTCTCTCTCTCTCTCTCTCACACACACACACACACACATATTCTTAATTTTATCTTTGTAGTGTTCATTGCAGAAGTCCCTATGAAAATTCTCATATTGATAAAAAGTAGGATACCTGTTACAATGCTCCAAGTGTGACCAGAGCAAACCAGGTAGAAGCCTTTCCTCTAATCTTCCAACATCCAGCAATGAATGAAAAAAATCATAGGACAGGACAGGACAGGACAGGACAGTTCAGTTGCTCTTGCTCCCTAAACTTCATGGTTCAGGTCCTTGTTTGTTTAAGAAATACTTCACACCTGATTGTGGCACATGGTCACATAACATTTTGAATATCCCAGGAGGAGCACAAGAGAGAACGATGGCCATAAATGGTAACAAAGAACTTCCCCTTAGAGGCATTTAAAGTACCAACATGGGACATCAGAAAGTATATGTCTGCGTCTGGAATGTACCTGCACCAATAATTTTTGCTGTAATTTTTTCCCCAGTATACATTTGCCCCACCCTGGAAAAAGCAGCAGCAGCAGAAGAGGAGTGGATTTTGGATTATTAAAACCTACTGCTCATGCTTATATCGAAGTAATCCATCCCTTCTTATTTCTGTGTAGAAATACGTAAAATAGAGTTTTGTACTGTGCTGTTTTGTTACTTTTGAGAAGGTATGGAGGCAGTGGGAATACCTGGAACTTCATGGTCATGCTTCATCCAAGCTAATCCAGGCCTTATTTGTGTATAAATATTTATCAGCTGATTTTTTTTACTGTATTGCTTCTTATTGTTACTTCTGAGTAACAATGGAGAGGAGTAGTTGCAAAGGTATTTATGTGAAGATGCTCAGAACTAAGCTTTATTCCATAAGAATCCAGTTTTTGTTGTGAGTAGAAATGTATAAAATTGATTTTTGTGTGATCTGGTTTCACTTTTACTTCTGAGGAAGTATGGTTGGGGTGACTTTTGGGTTGCTCAAACAAAGGTGGATCTTCAATGTTTCTCTGAAGATGTTATTTGTATCATCACTACAAATAACAATTTGCAATTAATTTCTGCTGGGTTCCAAATACTGCTTTTTGGTATTGATAGTCCAAGATGACTAATAACATCACAAGCATTTTTGGAACCTTCTGCAGGTTCAAAAGACTGCCTTTCTTTCTGTGGTTCTGATGATTACAGTATCATTATCATCAACACCATCATTTTGTGTAGCTCTGTGGATTTCCCTCACTCATCTTAAAAACTCATGTACCTCAGTGGTTGTTGCCTCTGTTAAACCTGCTTTCCACTTATTTCTTAATCTGACTAATTATTTTCTCTGAAGAATATTATGACAGACATACATACATATATATTATAACAATTGTATTTCAGTCTATTCTAGGAAAGAAACTAGGTGACTTACATGCATTAAAGAATAATATGACGGCTTGCCAGTGTAAAAAAGAAAGTGAAAAGGACGACCATCTTCACTCCACTGTATTGCTAAAGAAAATAAACAAAAGGAAATTGTAAGAGTCTAAAGAACCTATAGCCCACAATACCTTTCTTAAATAAGACTATTATACCAGGACATTCTCTAAAGCTTTTGTTTTAATTGAACAATACAACATTCAGGAACTGGCACCACAATCTCAACTGGTAAGTTATCCCACTGCTTAAACATTTCAAGGTTATGATCCTGTCTGATATGAGACTTATTTCTCATTCTTCACTTTAAAGCTTATTATCTCCTAGCCTTGTCTTAGTGGCCATAGAAATAAGTAGTAATGACTTACAGAAATATTTAGCATATTAAAAACATATCTACTACCTCAGTTTTATCATTTATTTTCAGCTAGAAATACTTATTTCTATAATACATCCCAATGCAAACCATATTTAAGTCAGAAATCAGTAGTACTGATTTAAATTGCTCTTAGCTCCAAGGATGTGTGCTTTAGATTGCAACCTTAAATTGGCTCAGTATGTATGTACATAAAGAATTATAGAAAAACACATGAAAGAAAAACCAGAAAGACTGAACTGGTATGAAAAATGTAGGTACAGAGAAGATCAAGCAAAGTAGATCAATGTAGCATATAGACCTGGTTCACATGCTGGGCTCATCAAGGATTTTTTAACTCGTGATAAGCTGTGGTGCACACCAGCAGCATGTTGCCACACCAACCTGGCCACTGTGGATTGAGAGTTAATCAACACTCATAATTCCCAATTTTTAGTAAGGTAGCCAAATGTTAACACTCAACATTGACCCATGATGGCCAGGTTCACACGGCCCAACAACAAAATGATCAGGGCTTATATATGTAAATGTTGTCTGGCACACAACACGACTCACTGTGGGATAAATAACCTCTCATGAGCCTAGTATGTCACAGTGTTGATCCAAATTAAGGGGAAAATCCAATGGTGTATGAGTGCCTTTCTGCTTATGCAGAGCACTTTTCCTGTCTTTCTTCCGCTTGCAGCCCTGATACACCCACCCAAAATTGTGTGTTTCCCCAACTTATGCAGGTGATATCCAAAGAATCCAGTGAGACAGATTAACTGGATACCACACAAAAGTAACTGAAATTAGGTCTCAGTGAACACAATGCGACAAGTTAGACATAACTTAAAATTGATACCAACCAAACCCCTTAATTAAGTTTCCAGAATACAACCCACAGCCACACACACAAACTTGCAATAGGTTTTAACCACCATTTGAAAGGCAAGTTCTTTTAATATTCCAGTGTTCCAAGTTTTTCATTTCAGCTGTAATCTTTATGGTATTTAGTCTACTGCTAAGGACAAAAAAACAGAAAAATAAAAAAGAATGTCAAAATATAAATAAAGAGTTACAAACATACTAATGGGATCCAAAGAACTATATTGGTACCTTGGCTCACGAACTTAATCCATTACACGACTCTGGTCGCAACCCAAATTGGTCATGAGCCAAGTCAAATTTCCATAAGGTTCAATGTAAATAAGGTTAATCCGTTCTGTAATCATTTTTTTAAAATCACAAAAATTTGAAACAAAGTGACAAAGAACAACAAAGATCCCAGCCACCCCACCCCCCTCGAGCACAACTGCGATCATGCCCGTCTTCCCTGCTCGAGCATGACTGCAATCGCACCTGTCTTCCCAGAACAAGTGCAACCACGGCCATAGACGGGTGCGGTTGTGGTCGCGCTCGGGCAGGGAAGACGGGCACAATTGCAGCCATCCACCCCCGAGCACGATCGCGGCCATCCCCCCCACCCCCGAGCACAACCGTGATTGTACAGGGAAGATGGCACGATTGCAATCGTCACCCAGTGCAGAGATCCCGACCTGAGGCAAAACTTTTCTGAAATTTCTGTTTGCGACCCAATTTGATTGTGAACTGACGCGTTCGTGAGCCGAGGTACCACTACACATATCCATGGAAATCATACGTTTATATTTCTTGCAATGTATCTCCACTTCCAGTTTCACATAGTAGGTCACTTGTTCATCTGTGATATGGTATGGGAAAGTGGGAACCAATTTCCAGCGCTCAAGAACAAAAATCTGGGGGCATATGAATAGCTGTTTGGATCTCAAACAATTCACTTCAATATATTACATAGCTTTACTTACTGCTTTGCTTTGGAAAGATGTCAGAAGGATGCTGTTAAAAAAAGAGCAAACATTATTAAAAATCAATTAGCAGTATTGATGTAAATCTTGTCTTTATATCTACAGCACTTAATTATTTTCTTACCTTCATTAAAGGCCTGGCCCTTTTCTCAAATAGACCAGAAGGAAAGAGATAGGCAATAGCTTTCTGCAAACAGAAAAAAAACAGACTTTGTTAAACAAACAAACAAACAAACAAAAGCATCCTACATTTAAACTCAGAAAATCTACTACACCTGAAAACTAGTCAAACTAGCATTTCTGAAATGCAACAGGTCATTGAAACTCACTACTACAAGTTCTGCTGACTTGTTCTGCTTCAGGTTTGCTAATCTGTGCTAGTTGTAAATCCACCAGAGTAGAAATAGAATTGCTATTGTGTTGTTATTCCTGGTCCTTGCAGTAACACTAAGCTTCCTGTTGGGGTAGCAGTTACTCCCACCACTGGTTGCTGCGCATGAGATCACACAAGCCTGAAATCCACTAACTGCAGCAAGGTGCAAAATAGGTGCATCAACTCTCTGGAGATGGCGAGTTGATATGCAGTAGAAAAAAGGAGCAAGGCTTCTGAGCACATGCTTATTCCAGGAAGTTGTATTCACTTACAGAATTAAGTTTTCAGTCCTTAAATAAAAATTCATTCCTAATTCCACCCCCTGAAAGCTTTCTTTCAAGAGTGTATAAGTTGTGGTGGCAGTAAAAAAATCTCATTTTGCCCTTGTTTTATTCAAGAAGTGGGAGTAAAAACGCCTGTCCATTTGTTGCAAATCATCTGGTGATCTACCAGTAGATCACAATTTGCCCTCTGCCAGCTAGTGATTCTCTGTTTATATATGGCAATACTGAACATCAAAGCTTGCTCACACATTATACTTCTAATGAGAGCAAATATTCACTTGAACCTCCATCTGATTTGAAAAGTGCAAAAGGGAGCAGGCTCCCTTTTAGCAATAGTAAGAAGTAGATAGAGATGGAAGAGCTTATAGGAGTGGTTTTTCTTGTTTTGGTCTACAGTCATTATCTTTGACATGAACAGCTTTTTCTAAATCTTCAGCATGCAATTTCTAACCAGAGAAAATGACTGGGACTGAAATACCATTACTGGATGTAGTTATCATCTGGTTCTGAGACCCCTGCCCACCCAAGCATCAATTTAAACTCCACTTTTATTCAATGCCAGACCAATGACATTATCAATAGATCCAGGTTCACATTATTAAATAATAAAAGGTAAGCAGGAAAGTTGAACCCACACAAGAAGTACAAAAAATTATTTCAAGCAGTAAGTATGAAACATCTTTGTTAGAAAATATATCCCTGACGTGTTCTGAGCTATTAATTAGAGAAATGAAGATTGGCAGACTTCTTTTCACCAAGTGGAAGTGCATTCCAAGAGCCATGGACCTCCTCAGATTCTGGCCAATGTTTTCTACTACAATTGAGCAAAAACTCATCATTTACAAGAACCAGCATAGCAGGATGGATTTGATTTAAATCAAATCAATTTAAATCACTTGTCAGTAAGACTACATTTAAAACATGGTTTTCTACAAAATTTGCATGCAGGTCTGCCTTACCCATAGGTAAAGGAACTTCATTAAAAAATTCCTAAACTGGGTCTCTTTTATGGCATGCTGCTATTATAGGTTTTCTCCTTCGGGGAAAGAATAATATGATAAACCTCAGACTATACACAAACAGATCCAAAGACTTATGGAGCATTCTGCTCAAATGTTTTCACTTTCATTTTACTGCTTGCCCCTCCCTCCTCCCACTTAGCTTCTTGTGCAGATCTATTCTATTCTCAATAATCTTCTTCTATTCATTGATTTTTATTTTAAATTGGCACTTAAGAAGTAAGGGGCTGATTCAATGTACATAGATTTGAAAAAGAACAATGGGATTAAAGTCTTTTTTTCAACTCTGTATGCTTATTTTATAACATTTTTGCTTTGAAGAAGAGGCATGCAATCTCTGCAGACACAAATTCACCGTTCTGAGAACCGTAAAAACAAGCATCTGTGATAATATCTCAGAGACAGAAAAACTGCCCAGTAATTTTGCAGAAACCTCTGGGAGAGCATGACATTGTGAATGGATTAATTGAATTCACTTACCAAAAAATTTAAACATTGTATGAATATACAGCTTCATGCTACATAATTAAAAACTAATCCTTATTTGATGATGAATAACCTTTGGAATATAATTTAAATAGAAAACTATCTTTAGATAGATTTTTCCTCAAAAAGCATTTTATTAAAGAACTGTAATTTAAATTTTAAAAATCCTTTAAAAAATCATTTATTTTTTATCCACCGTGCAGCATAGCCTATTACATAGTATCATAGCATGGATACCATCTGTGGGAATCAAGACAGCATTCTGTACAGCAACAAACTAGGATGCCTTCTAATGCTTCTCCTAAACTGATGAAGATAATAGCAGAAGAGATCATTAGGCAGTCTTCCACACAAAAAGTTTGCAGGCTTTCATGATATGCCAGTGCTGGACCATTCTAGTTGTTAATAAGGAACAGATTAAAGTTTAGTGAGACACACTAATCTAACTGATTTCTACAGTATGGACTCCTAAGGAAATAGGTCCAACCTGAAGCCTACCGAGAGTGCAGAAATTCTGATGCACAAACATTTTTTCCATTCAGTTCAAGGCAGTGGATGCAGCCACACGTGCATTTCAGATACTTCAGTGCTACAGTGAAAAAGACCTGAATGCCTTTAGGAATGAAGTATTAGGAAGATATCCAACATGGCATGTGTAAATGATCGCTTGCTACATCTCTTGTTAATTATTTTTAAATGATCTAATATAGCATCTCTATGATACAGCAAAGTACAGTTACTAGATAAAATTATGTAAAATTAATTAGGATCCTGAAAGCTGAACTGTATCAAAAAATAACCAGTATAAGCAAAATTTTGTCCATAATGATAAGAAATAAAGTCTCAAGTCAACAGTTAATATTTCCCTCTCTGAAGAATTGTGTTGCATTGCTGGTTACATTAACACAAGGCTATTATGCACTGATAATATTTTCTGTGGATACAGATTGGTTTGTCAATGCTGTCAACCCACTTAATATGCATGGACTGTATAAAGATCTCACCTATTACTTTATTAATACCCTATTGGCATTCGAAACAGAAATTCTGAGAATTCAACAGCAAACAAAAAGGATTAACTTGATTTTATGGAATGGTATTTTGATTCTCTTAGTGACTTGATGAATTCCCATTTGTTAGTCAATGGGGATATTGTACATACACAGAGTAGGTGAACATCTATTTGTGAACAAATGGGGATTAATTATAATGACAATAGAAAAACCCACTGCGAGCCAACGGATATTAAACACTATATAAAATAACACATCAAAAGAATATATTATGGAATACTGGGACCAACTGTGTATACTTATTAAGTAGTCTTTCTATACTTGCTTCTGCTTAGTGATTCAAACAATAATCTCAGCTATGAATGCAAAAATTCTGACTGCAACACAGCCATAATTAAAGCAATAGACTATTGTCTGAGTACATGTTAAAGAGGTGGAAAACAAGACTAAGGCAACAATGGAAACAAGCTATAACTGTTTAGCATAAATTCAGTCATTTCTAGACCACGCCTCCTTTATAGTAGATGGCAAGGGATCCATTTGTCAACTCTCAGAAAATATGAACTGCAATTAAATGGCTAAAATGGACTCACTTAAGCATGTACCTTGAACTAGGAGATTCCACTTGGATTTCTGTTAAATGACTGACAATAGTAAAATCTCCTATTGCTAGAGTATGCCACATCATACTCTTAGATATGGCTTAATAATGAAATGTGTTCTTCCTGGGAACTCTTGTTCATCTAGACTTGTAACATGGAAATATCTATGCTGGTGGTGCTCAGCACCCATCCCACAGAAGTTGCTTGCATACAAGCAGCTGCCTCTTTTACTGCAAATTAACCAACGCCAGATTTGCAAGAATTGGAAATCTTGTTGTGGGCCAAGAGTGAGAAACATTTTTGCAGGTCAAAAATACCATCATTTTTTAGCCTCATGCACTTATTGTGAGGAGGAAGCCTCAGGAAAGGCATTTCAGCATTTTATAACAAGGAAAAAACCTACAACCAGCAAGCTGGACTACAACCCCAAGAGGTCTGGATTAGATCCCCAGGTCTCAGGTTCTTTATGCCTGCTCTGTCAGTACTCCTTGCATTAGTACTATTACTATGTTAAAAATATTAGGGGCTGCATAAAGTCCAAAGGCTGTTCATGTAATGTGTGCAAGAAATTTTTAAACAATTAAACTTGGCATACCAATAATTCTGTAATAAGTAATAATGTATGTATTTAATAACAGTCATAATTTTTGCTTCATGTTTTCTTGCCATATCTTGGATTATCTGAATACAATTATGGGCAACCTGCAGACCTCAGCCTACAGTTCTGTGCCCCTTGCCATGCTTCCCTTTCAGCATCACCCGATCCTCCCTAAAGGTAGAATCCAAAAACAGTACTCATGCACAGCCCTGCCAATTCTGTTTGACAAGCATCACTCACCCCTTAGAGAATTCAGATGTAGCGCTTCTAAGGGGCAACCTGAAGTGAGCCAAAACGCCTGTTTCTGGAATGGGGCAGGTGGTCAGAACTCTCATTAGGGAGTTCCACAGATATGCCCTGTTCCAGAAACAAGTGTTTTGCTTGTTTCAAGGCTTGCCCTGGGATGCACAGAATCTCTGTTGGGCGAGCAACGGGTGCTGCTTGGGCAACAGAACAGAACCCTCAGCAAGAACAGGAGAAACCAGCATGTATATGACTACAAAGAACAAAACCAGAGAACAGCGGCTAGAATAACACTATATCCTTCAGAATGACACTCTGCCACACTAGGTAATCAAGCTTCTGAACTTGTGCACCTGCCTTTCTGCCTCTCTTGGATTACTATTGCAGAAGCACAACAGCTGGACCACAGCAGGCCAGAGGTACCTAAGGCAGCAGTGAAGTATGGAGGGTGGGAAGGGAAAGAGAGATTACTGAATAGGTAGATGGATGGGTGCAAATGTCTGAAGTTTTGCACAAGAAACATACACAGGCAGATAAAGTAGGAGGGACAGATTCTAGAATATACATGC